GCAGATGACGAGGTCAGGACAAGACCAGCCTGGCCAACATGGTGAAACCCCATCTCTACTAAAAATACAAAAAATTAGCTGGGTGTGGTGGTGCAGCACCTCTAATCCCAGCTACTGAGGAGCCTGAGGCCAGAGAATTGCTTGAACCTGGGAGACAAAGGTTACAGTGAGCTGAGACTGCGCCACTGCACACACCATCCTGGGCAACAAGAGCAGAACTCTATCTCAAAACAAAACAAAAAAACAAAAAACTTCTCTGTGCATAATTTACATTTTTAGTTGTATCTTTCACTTTAGTTTTGGTCCTGCTTTTCTGGAATCATATTGGCCTTTTTTACGTGTGTCCCAATGGCACCTTAAACTCTATTCATCATCTTTTCTTCCTCATCTTTTCCTTCTCCTATTTCTGTGAATGACATAAGTGTTTACATAGTCACCTTAGCTTAAAACTGGCTTTAATTTCTTCCTTTCATCACTGCCCCTTCATTTTTTTTTTTTTAAGCAGATTATCAGGCATGTTTATTATTTAATTTAAGCCTCAAAATCATGGGAAATAGGCAGAAAAATGTATATATAAATATAATTTTTTAAATGATAATAGAACAGAGCCCTAACATAATTTAAATCACTTGCCCCAAATTATATTGGTACTTAATGTGGCAGACCTGGAACTCAAATCTAATTTTTCCTTCTTAGTAGTCCTGAAGGTCTAGCTCTTTCTCGTATATCATGCTGTCTTTCCTCTTGTCATTTGCCAAAATCTGTCAATCTTTATTACAGCCCTTGCGTCTGTTCTTTCCTTTCTGTTGCCATTGTAGCCATCCTACTTTACATTTTTATAAATTCTCTCCCTGCTTTAGGCTCTCTGCTGTCTTATTAGGTAGTATACAGCTACAGGTTAATTAGACCAAAATATGTTTCTTTTCATGGTATTCTCCTTGCTTAAAAACTGTCACTTTAGATGACTGGACATGGCGGCTTACACCTATAATCCCAGCACTTTGGAAGGCTGAGGCAGGAGGATCCCTCGAGTCCAGGAGTTCAAGACTAGCCTAGGCAACCTAGTGAGTCCCTGTCTCTACAAAAAATAAAAAATTTAGCCAGATGTGATGGCATCCTGCTATAGTCCCAGCTACTCGGGAGGCTGAGATTGTAATAAGCTGTGATCATGCCACTGTAATCAGCCTGGATGACAAAGTAAGACCCTTTCTCAAGAACAAAATGAAGCAAAAAACTATCACTCAGCATTTTGCGGGTCCAAGGTGGGAGGATCGCTTGAGGTTGGGCAACATTGTAAGACTGTGTCTGTTAAAAAAAAAAAGTTCACTTAATTGGTTATGAAATAAAATCCTTTCAGATTTCTTAGTTACTTGTCTTCAGCCAGAATACATCTCTCCTCCAAGGGAGGTGGGAAAGAAGTAATCCAAGATAAATGTGTTTTTGTTTGTCTTAGACATTGCTTTTTGTAAAATGTGAGCCAACATTTTTAAAATCAGGGGATTTTGTCTAATAGTTCAGACTGTTGAAAAATGGAAGATCTGGCAATACACTAAGCCTGTATTTTTGTTTGACCCAAAGAGGCTGTTGCTGAGCAAATGGCTGCCTGCATTAGACAAGGCATGCCTTTCCTTGCTCACCATGTTTTCATCAATCCCTGTTTCCTTCTTAATGTTGAGGCCACTGTTTATAGAACCAGTTGTCATTTCTCTTGCACTGTAATTTTTCTTTTCTTTTGAGACAGGATCTTTTGCTCAGGCCAGAATGCAGTGGCACCATCCCAGTTCACTCTAACCTCAAATTCCTAGGCTCAAGTGGTCCTCCCACCTCAGCCTCGCAAGTAGCTGGAACTACAGGTGCATGCCACTACACTCGGATGATTTTTTAAAATTATTTTTTTCCCAGGCTTGTCGCAAAACTCCTAGGCTCAGGCAGTCTTTTTGCCTTGGCCTCCCAAAGTGCTGGAATTGCAGGCAGAGTCTGTGCCCAGCCTCTGCATTGTAATTTTTCTTAGGATGGAGAATTATTTTTCTGAACTTGGTTCTCTATCAGATATCAGAAAATAAAGCACTCAGGGTGACATAAGAAAAATTAGAGTACATTTCTGTAGAAGGATATACTTACTTGCTTATTTCCAGTTTGGTCTTTGAATTTCCCATCTTTGATTTTGAGCAACTTAAGTTCCTTACTGAAGAATATACACCTAATAGGTGGCAGAGCCAGAATTCATCTCCAAACCCCATATTCCTTATGCTGTATCGTTCTGTATCTAAGTTCTTGTAGCACTCTGTATTTCTGCCTCTTGTCAAACTATACAGGATACTTACCAGGCACTCAGACAATTCAGGACATACATGTGTCTTGCAATATAGTAGGTATTTAATTAATATGTTAAGTGATTTACCCTAGGAGTAAAATGAATTGTCATGTTCGAGATGTCCAGTGTGCATTGTTTTTTTCGTCTTCTTGAGAGATATGAACGTTTCCTAATGGGCTATGTTTCCAAGAGAATCTGGTCTCATTATTTCTTGAGGTATCCATAGTGATGAATTAAAAAAAAAATTAGCTCTTGATTTTCTGGGTGTAAATGTAGATTGATGGTATTACAAACTGTCACAGCCCTTTGTGAGTGAAAGTTTCTAAGAATGGCCTAAATTCTTCTGCTTGGCATTTTAATTGTTGAAGCTGTTTGGGAATTAAATCTTTTTGGTACAGAATCATTCTTTGGGGTATCTTTTTGGTGTAGTATCAAAAGGGGTCTTGTGGCTGGGCACGGTGGTTCATGCCTGTAATCCCAGCACTTTGTGGGGCAGAGGCAGCCTGATCACGTGAGGTCAGGAGTTTGAGACCAGTCTGGCCAACATGGTAAAACCCTGTCTTTACTAGAAATACAAAAATTAGTTGAGCATGGTGGCACGCACCTGTGGTCCCAGTACTCAGGAGGCTGAGGCAGGAGAATCGCTTGAACCCAGGAGCGTCCTGATCTCGTGTCATTGCACTCCAGCCGGGGTGACAGAACGGGACACCCACCTCAGAAAAAAATGGTGAGGAGGGGGTTGCATATTTTAGGATAAAGATTTTGTCTGATCTTAGAGTGTTGTTGCCATTAATTCCCGGTTTCAGATGTCAATTTTTTTTTTTTTAAAATGGAGTCTCGCTCTGTTGCCCAGGCTGGGGTGCAGTGGTGTGATCTCGGCTTAATGCCACCTCCGCCTCCCAGTTCAAGCAATTCTTCTGCCTCAGCCTCCCAAGTATCTGGGATTACAGGTGCCCACCACCATGCCCAGCTAATTTTTTTGTGTTTTTAGTAGAGATGAGGTTTTACTATGTTGGGCAGGCTAGTTTCGAATTCCTGACCCCTTGGGTGATCTGCCCGCCTTGGCCTCCCAAAGTGCTGGCATTAAAGGCGTGAACCACTGCATCCAGCCCAGATGTCAAAAAAGAAAAATTTTTTTTTTTTTTTTTAAGACGGGGTTTCACCCTGTTGGTCAGGCTGGTTTTGAACTC